CAGTGATTCCCAGTCATTCTGCTGTTAGGGTCAATTTTGCATATTACCCTTTTATTATATAGAATAGAGGCCTGGTGCATGGGTGGGGGCCTACTGATTTGCTCTGAAGGGTGTCCTCGATCAGGGTGGGGGTCCTTCTGGGGTGCCTGGCCAGCCTGGATGAGGGGATGATGGCTGTTTGCAGCTGGTCACACCCCCTTCAGGGTGGGGGTCCCCACTGGGGTGCCTGGCCAGCCTGGGTGAGGGGCTGATGGCTGTTTTCAGACTGACTAAGCCCCCTGGTGACTGAAGCTCCCAGCCTTTTCTTTCTTTTTTTTTTATTCGCTCCAGGTCCGTGGCCATGGCGACTGGAAGCAGGTATCTGGGGTTTATTTACCTTCTATAATTGAAACTTTGTTGCCTTTTGAGTGGAGGCAGCAGCCGCTGCGAAGCTTGGCTTCTTCCATCGCAGGGGCAAGCAAGCCTCCTGCTCGCTCCAGCTCCGTGGCCATGGCCTGCTGAAAGCAGGTATCTGGGGTTTATTTACCTTCTATAATGGAAACTTTGTTGCTTTTGAGTGGAGCTCACAGCTGGTGGCAGGCTGGCTTCCTCCATCACTGGAGCAAGCAAGCCTCCTGCTCGCTCCAGCTCCATGGCTGCCAGCCTCCATCTTGGTTGGGTTAATTTGCATATAGTCGCTCTGATTTGCTGGTGTGCATGGCTTAAGGCATAGCGAAAGTACGGTCAATTTGCATGTTTGTCTATTATTAGGTAAGATTTAAGTCTATGGTCCATCTTGACTTAAATTTTGTGAAGGGAATAAGGTCTGTATCTTGTTTCAAATTTTTTTCCCCATATAGATGTCCAGTTGTGTTGAAAAGGCTATTTTTGCTCCACTGCATAGCATTTACTCCTTTACTAAAGGTTAGTTAACTCTATGTGGGTCTATCTCTGAGCCCTCTATTGTGCTCCCTCTCTATTTCTGGGCTATTTGTCTAGTCTTTCGCCAATACCACACTGCCTTGATTACTGTAGCTTTATAGTAACTCTTGAAGTCAAATAGTGTCAGTCCTCCAACTTTATTCTTCTTCAATATTGTGTTGGCTATTTTGAGCCTTTCTTCTGCCATATAAACTTTAAAATCAGTTTGCTAATATGCTTCCTGGAATTTTGATTGGGATTGCATTCATTCTATAGGTCAGTGGTTCTCAACCTGTGGGTTGTGACCCCTTTGGGGGTCGAACGACCCTTTCACAGGGGTTGCCTAAATTCATCCTGTATATCAGAAATTTACATTACAATTCATAACAGTAGCAAAATTACAGATATGAAGTAGCAACGAAAATAATTTATGGTTGGGGGTCACCACAACATGAGGAACTATATTAAAGTGTCGCAGCATTAGGAAGGTTGAGAACCACTGCTATAGGTCAAGTTGGGAAGAACTGGTATCTTAACAACACTGAGTCTTCCTGTCCATGAACATGAAATATTTCTCCATTTATTTAGTTCTTTGATTTTGTTAATCAGTTTTTCAGTTTTTCTCCTATAGAACTTTTACACATTTTGTTAGACTTATTTCTAAGTATTTACCTTTTTGGTGCCAATATAAATGTGTTTTTAATATCAAATTCCATTTGTTTATTGCTGATATATAGCAAAGTGATTGACTTTTATATATTAATCTTGTAAACTTATTATAATGTTAGTTCCAAGTTTTTTTCGTTGGTTCTTTTAGCTTTTCTAAATACATGACCATGTTATCTGTGAACAAAGACAGTTTTATTGCGTCCTTTCTTATATGTACACCTTTTATTTTTGTCTGCTTTAGTGCATTAGCAAAGGCTAAGAATTTGTCAGCGAGGACATACTTGTCTTACACCTGATCTTAGTGAGAAAGCTTAGTGGAAAAGTTTCTCACCATCAAATATGATATTTGCTGTGTGCTTTTTGTAAATAATTTTTATAAAGTTTGAGCGAGTTTGCATCTATTTTTAATTTACCAAGAGTTGTTTTTTTAAATCATGAATTGGTTTTTATTTTATCAAATGCTTTTTCCTGAATCTACTGATCTATAATAATAAAAGCATAAAATGCTAATTAGACCGGACATCCTTCCGGATGAAGCCACAGTGGCAGGGGCCGAGACCCTTGCACAAATTTTGTGCATCGGGCCTCTATGATTTTTCTATTTTTAGTCTGTTGGTGTGATGGATTATAATTAATTGATAACTAATTGATGAACCAGCCTTACCTACCTGGGATAAATCCACTTGATCATGGTATATGATCCCTTTAGTGTATTGTTGAATTTGGTTTGATAATATTTTGTTGAGGATTTTTTTTTAAATCTATGTCTATGAGAGATATTGGTCTGTAGTTTTCTTTTCTTGTAATGTCCTTTTCTGGTTTTGGTATTAGTATAATAGTGGCCTCATGGAATGAGTCAGGAAGTATTCCTCTTTTTCTCTCCTTCAAAAGAGATTATAGAGAATTGGTACCTCATATTTTCAACATTTATTTTCATTGTTTATGATTTATTTCAAAAGTTTTAAGGAGATGAAGAATTCACTCAAATTAGTTAATGAATGTTGATAAATGAAGGTGTGCTGTATGCCTATCCTTCCCAAATAATTTTTACATATTACCAAAAGGTATATATATCTATATATATCTGCATATAAAAAAGAGAATCTCATTCCAGGTTTAGGCTTAAAAGGAATCCGGAAGAGAGGAGCAGAATAATAGCCAGCAGAAGAAGTTTTAGGGCAGGACTTTTTTGTGTGGTATTGCTCACACCTTATCTCAGCCTGTTACTCTAATTCTGCCAGCTTGGGGCCTCTTTATATGCACCTCTGAAACCTCTGGCATCTGTTACGTCTGAATATACTTTTTAATCTGTATTTTAAAGATATTTGTTTATGTTTCTTTCTTCCTTTGCAAACTTCATTTAAAAAATTGATGGTATCCTCTTTTACTGTCTTAGCCTGAAATCATTCTTATCAGCAGGAGAGATTGAAAAACTGTCAACCCCAAGTCTATTGTTTCCATTTATAAAACACAGAGGCAGTGTTTTGCAGGGATGAATTCCATTGTGGGAGTGAATAGAGTGCTTTTTGTAGATTATTCATTGTACCACAAAAAAAGCAAAAAATAAAGCCTGACGATCTAAAAGAATGACAGCCTTTAATAAGCATTTACATTTAGTTTTAGAAAAGGAATGAGACCTACATGGAAAAATCTGTACTTTCTGTATCACTTTCTAGATTGTTGTGTTTTCTCAGCAGGGTTTGGTATTTTAGATTCATTAAATGCATTCATTGTTAAGAATTTCCTGAGTACAAATATAAAAATGTACCTGACATATATATTATAAAATATAATGACAAGTATTATTTTCTAATGTAATATATGAAAGTACCTAGTTAATTTATGATTTTACAAGGACTTCAACTTGTCTGGAAATACTTGCTGTTAACATTGTCAGCTTTCAGAACGAAACATTTTTCAAAAAATTGCATAATTTATATTTTCAATGCCATGTAAAATATAATAGTGACTGCAAGGAAACAGGCTTATGTCCTTTATTTTCTTGGTGTAGTCTCATTATATCTTGGCAGGATAAGTCATACAATCATTTGGATAACTTAGATATTTTCAAACTTGATTTCTGAATATGCTAGTTGATCAAAATAAAGACTTTCTCTAATCAGTTTATACAAACAACAGCTTTAGTTCTGTTTCATACTAGAGGCCTGGTGCACAAAATTCATGCACTGGAGGAGGGGAATGTCCCTCAGCCCGGCCTGCACCCTCTCCAATCTGGGACCCCTCGGGGGATCTCTGACTGCCGGTTTACATCCTTCTCACAATCCAGGACTGCTGGCTCCTAACCACTTGCCTGCCTGCCAGCCTGATTACCCCCTAACCACTCCCCCGCCAGCCTGATTGATACCTAATTGCTCCCCTGCCAGCCTGATCACCACCAACTGCCTTCCCCTGCAGACCTGATCACCCACAACTGCCCTCCCCTGCCAGCCATCTTGTGGTGGCCATTTTGTGACAACATGAGGTTGGCCATCTTGTGATGATTTTGCGGTGGCCATCTTGTGACGACGTCACTCAAGGGCATTACATGAGGGTGTGATGCCACCTAGGCTTTTATTATATAGGAAAATATTTATGTCTGACATGAAGCCAGTTTTCAATAAACATTTGCTGGATTGAGGAATGAATGTCTGTGCTTGCCAAATATTTACAGGGTGGAAATTATAGGTAAACATGAATGTTGTTACTTCAATTAAATGAAATCTCCCCTCAGATCCTGTGGCTTTATGTTTTCTTTGCCTTAGGAGAGATATTGAAGAATAATATGGTAAAAGTCTCTGGAGTAGAGGCCTACCAGTGTAAGGTGTGGAAGGTCAGCCAGCTTCACATAGATCACGATTCTTGCAGGGCAGCTCTGATTGGGGGGAAAGGCCTAAGGAGGAAGGTATCCCTATTTTGTTGCTTCACCAGTCCTTAAAACAGTATTTCTCAAACTTCAGTGTATCTATAAACCATATAGATATCTTGTTAAAATGCAAATTCTGTAATTTGTTAGCCAACTGTAGGTTGAGTGCTCTTTGTTTTGTCAAATTCTTTATGTTTTATCTTCAGGCAGGATAAGAGCCTGCCAAAGCTTGTTGTTTTAATTTATTTACTTAAAATATGAATGACCAATAAAGCACAAATAGCTACGTTTATTTTTCCAGGACTCACAGTTGAATTCTTGGGTTGATTATGAAGCATTAAATTGTCTTGTTTGGATGCTGTGGGATTAGTCAAATACCATTAATGATTAGTGAATATGGTCTGTGCATTGTCATTCTTCCGGGCATGATAGAAAGGCTTTTATACTTTTTCAGCCCTCCTTTGTGATTTATTTATTAAACTAAAGTGTATTCTTCCATAGTCAAGGCCTTGGGTATTTTGTTGATACCTTTGCTTCTATAATAATCACTTCTTTCATACTCTGAGCTGATTACTGAGTTCATTGTTATTTCATTTCCTCTGACTTTTAAATTGTAAACATCTGTTAAATTTTATAACTTCCCAAAGAAGGAAAAGAAATTAAATATGATCCATAGTGTGTTTGAACAAAATACATGCAACTGTTATAGATTGAGTGAATAAATAGATACTGAAAAGTCTTTAGGCATAGTTTCCTATTAGCCTTGGAAGAATCCTCTCCCCTCCACTTGAAAAAAATAATTATACATTTGGATCATGTTTTTCTTCTAAGTATATGTCCAAGAATTTTCCTGATTGACATTCAAGTTCAGCAAACATATCACAAAATATGCCTCAAAATACTAACATTGGCTGTGATGAGATAGCGAGGTAATGGGTATTTTTCTTTGAATTTATATTTACATTCCCATTCTTCTGAAATGGAATTTTGGGACTAGAACCCGGATTCTTTGTCCACCAGAATCAAGGAATGAATCCACGGTCAGAAAGTGGTATAGCAAAGGTGGAGATTTATTGAAGAACTAGAGGCCTAGTGCACAAAAATTTGTGCACTCAGGGGAGGGGGTCCCTCAGCCTGGCTGTGCCCTCTCGCAGTCTGGGACCCCTTGGGGGATGTCCGCCTGCTGGCTTGGGCCATCACCCCAGGGGATCTGGTCTAAGCTAGCAGTCAGACATCACTCTGGCAGCCTGGCAGCCCTTGGGGGATGTCCACTTGCCAGCGAGGAGCAGGCCTAAGCTGCAGTCAGACATCCTTAGCGCTGCTGAGGAGGCGGGAGAGAGGGGCTGAGGGCTGTTTGCAGGCTGGTCACACCCCCTTCAGGGTGGGGGTCCCCACTGGGGTGCCTGGCCAGCCTGGGTGAGGGACTGATGGCTGTTTGCAGGCTGGTCAAGTCCCCCAGTGGGGACCCTCACCCCATGGGGGTGTGGCCAGCCTGGGTGAGGGGCTGAGGGCTGTTTGCAGGCTGGTCACACCCCCTTCAGGGTGGGGGTCCCCACTGGGGTGCCTGGCCAGCCTGGGTGAGGGACTGATGGCTGTTTGCAGGCTGGTCAAGTCCCCCAGTGGGGACCCTCACCCCATGGGGGTGTGGCCAGCCTGGGTGAGGGGCTGAGGGCTGTTTGCAGGCTGGTCACACCCCCTTCAGGGTGGGGGTCCCCACTGGGGTGCCTGGCCAGCCTGGGTGAGGGACTGATGGCTGTTTGCAGGCTGGTCAAGTCCCCCAGTGGGGACCCTCACCCCATGGGGGTGTGGCCAGCCTGGGTGAGGGGCTGAGGGCTGTTTGCAGGCTGGTCACACCCCCTTCAGGGTGGGGGTCCCCACTGGGGTGCCTGGCCAGCCTGGGTGAGGGGCTGAGGGCCGTTTACAGGCTGGCCACGCCCAAGGGTTGGAAGCAGGTATCTGGGATTTATTTATCTTCTATAATTGAAACTTTGTAGCCTTGAGCAGAGCTCAGGGCCAGCCAGGGCTAGCAGGAAGCTTGGTTTCCTCCATCGCCGGGGCAACCCAAGCCTCCTGCTCACTCTAGCTCTATGGCCGCCACCATCTTTGTGACAGAGTGAGAGTTAATTTGCATATTACTCTTTAATAGATAGGATAAGCACAGACTCCCACATGGGGAGAGGGAAAGAGTCCCACAGAATGGACTCCCAAGTAGGGAGGGGTAAGGGTCCCCCTGAGTTCCTTTTCCCTATGGCTTATAAAGGCTGCAGATCCTGGTGCGGTGATATCCCCTCTGATTGGTCACTATTCCCTTAGACTGGTTACTAGAGTAACTCCTGAGTTCAAAGGTCCAACCTCACATGGGACGTGTGAGTTTCTCCCCACCTCCTTCCTCATTGTTCTTTTCTTTCTGGCTTTCTTCCTTCTTCTTTATTTTGTAAATATAGACCTTTTGGCTACTTACAGCTTTTCTGTCTTATGTAAATGCAACAGTTGTTGCTCCCTGCACCTGGCTTCCTTGTGTTTTGGAAATGTACCTTCTCCCAATCTGTAGCCCTGTGTTTTTCCATGGACCCCAATTCTAAAAACTCCCTAAGCCTGCCTATGTTCCCCTAGAATTCCTGTTTCACTTCTATCATTTTTATAATTTAAAAAATATTTTTAAATGCAACATATTTTTACATGTTTGACTTTTAAAATTTGGCAGTGAATCAATTGTTTATATAACTAGCTTGGTTCTTGTTTAATCTCTGAATGCTGCTCTAATTTATGTCACAGAATATTAAGTATAAATAACATGTTTTATTTTTTTAAATATATTTTTATTAATT